AAAAATAAAGAAAAAAAATCTCACAACTAAAAAATACGGTAAAATAGATTTCTAAAATTCCAAAAAGAACAAGATTATTAAAACATGATTATCCATGAGCTTTTGAGAATATCATGGACTGGATTTTTGGACTTAATTTTGGTTGTGTGACGGATCAAAAGTTAGCCGAAAAACAACCAACAGTTGGGAAGAGGGCGGAATACGTTTCTTTATAATGTTTTTGATAATTATACGTTTTAGACTAATTGAAGGTTAGTAAATATGTTTAATGTGTACTTTTTTGCTTTTTTTTAATGACATCACATTAAAATGAATTTTAATTTATAATTTGGGAAAATTACACATAGAGGCACTTTATTGGAAACACATAACATATATAGATATTTCCCAAAACCAAACACACTTTCTCATATTTGCACAAAATTTAAGATATTTCGGACAAATTTACCTCTGAAGGGAAAGGAAACATATTTTTAGCTTCTGTCTTATATCAACTATTCAAAATCATTAAAATCTAATGGCTGAGATTAAAGATCATCATTTTCTTTCTTTGTCGCTTATTAATTAAAGGAATCCCTATCAACATCAACTTCTAGTTTACAACATCAACAAAACGATTTCAGAGATGTTGTTGAGAAACTTACCGGTTTGGCAGCGCATTAACGGATCTCTGCTCCACCGCAACAACCGACGAGTCACCGCCCTAAGGCTCAACCGACTTTACGTTTACACATTATCCTTCCTCTTATGTTGGCTCATGTTATCAAGAAGAATTAAAGATGGATTGAAGAAGAAAATATTGGTCTTCCGTCGTTCTACCCCTGGTTGTTCAGAGTTATCGTTATATTGATGCGAAATTGGAGGTTTTGGTGTCTGTATGGATCTGGATTTTCTTGTGTTGTTCAATATTAGAGAATCGAAACCCTTTTTTCTTAGAAAGGCATGAGCTTTGATATTTTAAATTCATAAATTGCAACCTTTTAAAAATCAAAATCAATTTTGCGAATTAGGTCATGTAAAAAAATGTTCAACACCTATCGAGATTTAGATACAACGCTTCTTTTGGTTGTTAGGCATTTGTTCCCATTCCTCAGTACATATCCATATGGATACTATAAGATGGTCGTGGTTTTGTGGATGTATGATTTCAGATTCTTATGAGTTTACTTATACAAATGATCAAGTTTTGTTTTGCACCGGAGGAGACCGGAATCGGTTATTCCACAGCTGATGTTTCCACTTTTTGAGAGAAATATGGTTTCGACTAACCCAGAAAAAGCTTTATCTCATGGACACGATATCGTGGATGAGGATCGATGGACATAATGGGATGGATCATATCCAACCTACTAGTGGATACGGATTGGTGGACAGAATGGGATGGGATCGTATCCATGACAATAGATCAAGGTTTGTTTTGAATTTTATGAGAAAAAAGTTACCCTTGAACAAATGTACATAAACGTGTTTAAGTTTTATCGAAGTAGTTATTCAAGATGTGTCATTGACAAAAATATAGCAATGCAATCACACTCATTGTCCGTTTGTATATAACCTTCTGGTCAATGCTTAGTGAACACAAAATGATTAATGATTAGAAGCTTAAATTTAAGAACTAATTAATATATCAAAGAACACCAAAATTAATATATCAAAGAACACCATTTTGTGTTGTTCATAAGGTTACACACAGTTTGGTTTCAAACAAGTTAAACATGACATAGTAAATATATAATGTAACCATATTGCGTTGTCTATATGGTTAACACCGTTTGGATTCAAACCAATCGAAGTTGTGGGCATCCATGTGTGACCATCCACGCGGGAGTATTCATGTGTGACCATCCACCAACATCCATCCATACGTGATGTGCTAATAACATCACAATCTTCAACCATGAGGGTTTCGACAAACCCATAAACCCTATGTCTAACTCGCTACATGCTTCCTATCCATTAGTGAGTTACCATCTGCGTATAACAATTTGATTTTTCTTTGAGGCATTTTTCCGAACACCTTATGTGCGTTTTGTCAATCTTTTGGTTTGCCATAAAAAAATATCAAAACCAGATTCAAACAAAATCGAATCAAATTTGGACTTATATGTTTCATTAGAGTTAGATCTGGAACCTTCTCGAAAAAGAGCTCTTTCGAATTGAGAAGAGACAAAACGTACGGACCAAAGGCTTAAAAAGCTTCGTCGATGCTGGAGAATCACGATTCTTCACTACGATTTACGCGACGGACCCAAACGATGCTGGAGAAGCTTCGTCATCTTCGATTCCTGATAAGAGAGGTGTGTGATGAGAGAGTTGTGGAGGAGATGAAGAAAAAGAAGTAAGATCTAATATGGAAAAATGTTTTAATGTGTTTTCAAATAAATAAAGTGTTTTGATGTAACAAAAAGATGGAAAAATGCCTTATAGTGTAATAATCTCTTATAATTTTTTACCAATAAATTATAAATTAATATGAAAATAGTTAGCAACCGAAATTTAAATCCATGTAATTTATATTATTGATAAAAAAAAAAGAGAAATTTTAAAAAATGTTACATCTTTTATGTCACTTTACAAAAATACCACATTTTTACAACTTTGGAAAAAATGCCATTATTTTTGTTGCATATTCCTGAATTGCCCTTGAATGAATTTACCCTGATTTTTCTACAAAAAATCTCAAGATCATCGTCGATCTCCTTTGATATCGCCTATCTCGCCTGGGAATTCCCCTAAATCGTCGATCTCGCCTGAGATTTCCCTAAATCGCCGATCTCTCACGTTGTCGATTTCGTCGGAGGTATTCCTATGTGATTTTATCTGATGAAATAGTCTCAGTTTTCTTCTGCGTCACCGTCAATGAGGTAAGTTTCTTTGGGCTCACTACTCGGTTCCGTTAGATCTGTTTTTATTTTCGCGTGAATTGCTTTTTCGCTTTAACGATTTAACATAATTTGATTCGATGTGATCTGGTTTCTGTAGAGTTCTTTCTCTCGAATTGATTCAATTAAGCGTAGAATTTGATTCCTTTGTAATGCTTCAAGAAGCCGAGCCCAGAACTGTAGCACCTCTGCATCCAGTTCTGGACTCTAAGAAGACAATCTCTTTGATCGTATATTTGATAGGGACGCGTTGTGGAGATATATGCCCTGAAGCATCTGGAAAAACAACACTTGCTCTACATGTTATTGCAGAAGCACAAAAACAAGGAGGTTAGTGCATGTTTCTTTAACTCTTTGGCTATAGAACCATTTGCTATTTAAAAGGCACTAGTGTTCTAAAAGATGTTGTTTGCATACAGGAACCTGTGTCTTTGTAGATGCTCTGAGCATGCTCATTGCTCTTGATTCGTCCCTTGCTAAGGCTATCGGTGTAAATACAGAAAATCTACTTCTATCACAGCCTTATTGTGGTGAACAGGCCCTTAGTCTTGTGGACACTTTAATCCGAAGTGGTTCAATTGATGTTATTGTTGTTGACAGTGTAAGTAAGGTGATTAATACGAGTAGAATAATGGATAGATGCTCTTGCTTCGGGCTCTATATTTCTCTCCTCACGGTTTCATGTGATTTTGTTTTCACAGGTGGCTGCTCTTGTACCTAAAGGAGAACTTGAGGGTGAGATGGGTGATGCTCATATGGCTATGCAAGCCAGATTGATGAGCCAAGCTTTGCGTAAATTGAGCCACTCTATCGTTATCGCAAACACTTCTGATCTTTATTAATCAGGTACAGAACTTTGGTAGTTGAGATATGTAGAAAAGTTCTGATGGACAACTCAGTTCTATCAAGTTCCTGCTTTGTGGAATGTAAGTCTTCTGTGAATTTATCTTTTCTTCAGGTGAGAGCAAAACTGTATACATTTGGTGAGTTTGGGGGCCCGACGGAAGTTACTTGTGGTGGAAATGCCTTGAAGTTTTATGCTTCTGTGCGTCTGAATATTGTTTATAAAAATGAGAGAAAAAGTTGAGAAATGTTGTTTATAAAAAGAACCTTATAATCAATAACTCATCATGTTTATCTTTGTCTAGAAAGTCGTTTTTTTTAAAAAAAAAATTGCTTATTTTTGTTGTCCTGCAGAGATAGGACTCGACCATTGATAGAGTGTTTGGATCTAGTATTCGTATTAAATAGTTGATA